CCTGTGGTCACTGACGTATAGGGTTGCCACTTGCCCTGGTTTTCCCAGGATCGTCCTCTTGTCGAGGAAGCTGCTGTCTTGTGGAAATCTACAGGTCTTAACAGGACATGAATAGTCCTGTTTTTTATCCATTGGGTAAATAATACATCGCTCGTGTTATTCTCTCCTCTTCTGGTATTATGATGTATCACTCCATCCCGTGATTGTGACCAGGCTTTGTAATCAGGTGGCAACCCGACTGATAGATTGGGTAACCCAATGCCCTCCACTCTTCACGGTCTTCAGCCACCGTGTGGAGCTCTTCCCAGTCACGCCCCTAGACGCTTCAGCCTTCTGCCCTGTTTGGTTCCGGCTCACCAGCCCAATATTTCCTCGAGCTGCATTTTAGCGAAATTACGTGTCACTGGTGGACCAGGCTGAGACCATTAACTCGCAACACTTTGAGAATACAGTTTAATAACAAGCAGCTGAAACCTCGATTCGAACCAGCGGTGCTGTTTCGCGGGCCCTTGACCCTGAGATCCACCCAGTCACCGCAAATAATGCTAAATTGCTGTGTGAACTGGACTGGAGCCAATACAGTGATACCCTTGACCAAGTAAAATTTGCAACGGTCCGCCAATAAATAGGCCACCTGGAAGTGCCGCCACCTTTTGGAATCGCGTTGAAACTAGTCGCTGTCGGGCCCAGTTGAGAGAAGGGCCACGTCCGATTTGCAATTTGCGTTGATTTTGGTGTAAAATGATGGATGCGTTCTGCGCCTATGACAGTGGAGCTATTGTAAACCCACTGTGTTTTTCACGAGCGTCGCTTCCGCTGTGAGCCGATGATTGGTTCGTATAGAGACAGAGGAGACGCAGAGTCCTCCGTGTGGAATTCTACGCCGCGATGAAACCCAATCCAGTAATCTCTATCGACTGCTCCGGCACGGATTGCTCCGTGGCTGCGACTGGTGAGCGACACCCAACTAAATTTCCTAATTATTTTTCCGTGCACCGACAGCGGATGTTAAAATTGAGTTCCCTGCCATTCAATATTCTCCCGAACTTTCCCCGTGCATTTATGAAATTCCCAAGCGATCATCTGCCGGATTATAGATGCACTGTGATACCCTTTTTTTCCTGTCTAGTTCATTTTCCGACCGATTAAGACTCAATTGTGCTATTGGCTTCGTGCCGCAAGAGGCTAAAATATATCCAGGACCTCGTAAGCAGCAAGAATTGCACCAGATGTTGTTGGAACGGCCCCCGGAAGATGAGTAGAACCACTTTTCACGTCACTTTATTTAGTTACTTCGTGCGCACACTAGGGGGGCACATCTCTTGGTAATGAAAACTCTCAGCTGGAAAAAATCTTAATTGACAAATCAAACTTTCAACAAAGGGGTTTTCGTTGGTTATGTAATTGGTCGCCTGGTTGAGACCATTTAGCTTGCCTTTCATGAGAACCGGAATTAATCGCCGGCATCCGAAACCCAGATCCAAACCCGGCAGTGGCGGCTCGGTACTCTGATCCCTGGTGTCATCGTCCCGTGCGCTACCTTGGCCACCTTGAGTCACAGTCACAATGACGAAGAGTTGTTGAATTGAGGCGGCATTTTTTATGAATGACAAAACAGGTGTGACCCGCCATTCTGCTCGGCGGTGCATTGCAAGCAATTGCGTAACTCCTTCAGGCATACGAGTGTATTTTTGTTTTTTTTACGCCACTCGAGAACGATGCAGTGAAGATATATTACAACTTTTTTGGATTCAAAACGACGGCGATGCTGGCCCGGGCAGAGGCCCAACGCCGAGTTGGTCGCCGATTACGTGGTTGCGTGACTGGTGCGTGGCCGTTAAGAATATCCAATTTCATGGAGGCAGTTTTTTTTTTAAGTTCACCATTCTCCTTTTTCTTTTTCCCTTCCCACTCTCATCTCAGTTGTTATTCGTGCAGGAATTCTGTGAGCGCGACGCGCGCGTCCATTGCCAACGAAGGAGCTGGACTTGATTGATACATATTTTAACAGCAATGTAAGTACAGTACATGGGTGTGTGTGTGTGTGTATATATACAGCAAAGGGGTGTAACGATGCAACGATCCTCCAAATGAAATTCGATCCTTAACCCTTGTGATGTACACACACATCGATTCATTCGCGTGAGAATCCATTTTACGATTCATGCCAATTATATATGCATCATCATGAACAGCCACGATCAGTCCACTGCTGAATGAAGGCCTTACCCAAGCCTGATGCCGCTAAACCTGTTGTCGTCGTCGACTCTCCCGGACTTTGCTGTACAAACGAGTCGGAGCGAACACGGGACAACGCAAAGCGAGCCGGTAAACACGAGACAAAACAAATACATTCTGCGTGCGCGGGGGGGGGGCAGCGGCAACCCTTGCATGCCGAGTAGACAGAGGGTCGGGGGACTACTTTGTAGTCAGCAGTAGGGGGTGGGGGGGAGGTGCACCAAAAGCCGCAAGTTGTCTTGTACGTCTATGCTCCCACGTCTGTGCGTGCTCCGCCATCTTCTCCGACGCACACCGACCAGCGCCGTGGTCAGATAACCCCCATGACCCGCGCGGCATGGGCGGCAGGCCGTCATCCAGCAGTGGATTGGAAAACCTCCCCTGAGTAAAAGGCCGCCCGCTGCCCTGTTTAGTTTTTTTTTCCTTTCCGCGGTGCCACACTCAGCGATACAAAGTTGACGTCTCCCCAACGCCAAATTCCACGTGACTCACGCGTCGCCCCAACTACGCGCACGCGTCATGCATTTGTGTGTACATGCGTCTGAATTCGTGTGATGTTGGGAGGGGGGGACGAGCGGTGGATTAGTGGTTAAAGGCGCTGCGTTGCGGACGCGGTGACACGGGTTGGATTCCCGGCTTGAGCCAACTTCAACGGCCGGTGATATCGGAACCGGCCACAGCCCCTTGCCCGGTACAGATGCAGAAGCGGCCAGGTATGGTGCTGGACACACCGCAGCCCCTTAGCGAGCACCTAATGAAGGTGCAATTAATAGATGCTCGCTAAGAGCACTGTGCCCAACCGTGCTTGATGCCACGCACGGGATCTTTGCCTTTGATGTATCTGCGCTATCGTCTCCTGTGGCTTTGCGTATTCAGCTGCTTTAGGCATAGCGTGAGCGAAAGCCTCCAACAATGCACGCACGTCTGGTATGGTCTTCTGGCCCGGCTTGTGGCTGGGCTCGCGCAGCGCGTGCCGCTCTCGACGCGCGGCCTTTGGGGAATAATTCATCGCGTGGCCACGCTGACCCATTCATTACACCCGTCGCCATCCCGACCCTCGCCCCCCGCCCCGCCGATCCGAGGCGTGCGTCACCACCGCCGCGCTGAATTTAGTTTGTCCACTCGCATTTGCCATCTCTGCGACGGGTATAATGGGTCTTGGGATGCCCTCCCCCGCTGTTTTACGATGTTGTTGGGGTCGTTTGCGCGAGCGGGCGGCGCGAAAATAATAGAGACGGTTTGGCAACGCGAGCAGTTTCACCAACAGGCACATTTCCAGTTGCGACTTGGAGGCGCGGAGACACGTTCAGGGGTTCCTAATTTGCCCGGCTTAAACGGGACGGAACCTTCAACGGTGATGGATTTGATTCATACATTGCGGATCGCTGGTAAACTTGGAGCAGGTGGCACATGACTCGTGGGCACCGCCGCGGCAATGGGTATACTTGGAGGGGTGGTGTGCCGGCTGCGGAAATGTTTTTATTCCGGACCACCCTCGCGGCCCAGAGCCTTGTGAAGTTAACCTCCGAGCGTGACGAAACGCAACCCCTGGGGGAGGTTGCACGAGCGAGCGAGTCTGTAGTAACGCCGCCACGTGCCCGTTGGGTTTGTGCGCCCGCGTGGCCTGCTCTTGCTTTAGTTTGGTCCGTCGGCATCGGCCGCGCACGCGTGCGCTCGCTTGCCGCCGTGCCTCTGCGCACGCGCGCGAGCTGTGTGTATTTGCGAAAGGCTCGTGCAAATGAACTCGCCGGTGGTGATTGGTGACGCCTGCGATTCTGCTGCTGCTGCTGCCGCCGGTGATTATAGTCGTGATAATCCCCCACCTCCGATAAGCACGGATGCCTGCGTACGGTGTGAAGGAAGTTACACATACGTATATACATACGTGCAAATGCTGATTGTGCTTTTGCGGCTGCTGCTGATAGCGATGACAGTGGTAATATTTATCTCAATGCCTGTACTTTGTGTGTGTGTATATACACGGTATTCATAAGTGCTTGCAAGCAAAATTTGTCTATGTAAATGTTTTTCTTTGCAAGTATGTGCGTGTTTAGGTTTGTATATATCACTGCATGTGTACGTGTGTGTGTGGGGAGCAGTAGTGTCGTGGCAACCCGAGTTTGATTCCTGCTCACGGCTAACACCAGTGATGATTATCTAAACCAGTCTTGGACCTCCCCAAGGTTGACTCGGCCTCAAATGAGTACCGGGTGCGATGTGTAAACATCGCCACTGGGGAGACAAAGGTGGTAGGGCGTGGTGCTGGTCACCAACACCCTGGGTGCCATGCTGCCCTTACTTAATAGGTGCTCGCTTAACAGCAAGAGCTTGGGAAAAAGAGAGATGACGGGAGGCGGGAACTCCGAAAATGGTGCAGTGCGAGGGAAGAAGCAGAAAGAGAAGTGTTTATGACCTGTTGTAGTGTGGTGGGTGAGTGAGTGAGACGTGGGTGAGTGATTGTTGTGACCTGCAGTGTGGTGACCGTACGGACGGGATGAAACGGTCAGTCTGGGCAGGCCGAGAGTCCCCGACATGGGTAGGGGGATCGTGAGTTAAGTTCACGGGAGAGCAGTAAGCATGGTCGGAGCAAGCAAAGAGTGATACGGAGGCGAATGACCAACTGGTGAGTGAGTGCTGGGATTTAATTGGTGAGTGCTGGATCATCGATCACCCTGGCTGCTTTACGTTGATCAAAGCAAAGTTACAGTGGGCGCGCACGCTAATTTGGGTTCTTGTGTTTGTTTGTTTTCTCTTTTGCGTAGAAGATATTCAAGCGAGAGGACGGACGCTGGCATATGAAAGCCTTACTTGAGCTGACAGTAAGTGTGGTCCTGTGTGTGTGTGCGCGCGTTGTGTGCGCGCGTTGTGTGACCTGTCACAGTCAGCCTTTGTATGTGCTCCACTCACCACCAAATCTGCCCAATCACCCACCCTCCAAATCACCTACCCTCCAAATCACCCACCCTCCAAATCACCCACCCTCCAAATCACCCACCCACCCTCCAAATCACCCACCCACTCATCCAATCACCCTCCCTATCAGATCACCCACCCACTCTATGGGTCTCCCTGGTGAGTCTATGGGTCTGTGTGAAGTGAAATCCATCAACTTACACCACCAATCATTGCCCCACACACACACATTTGCAGAAGATACAAACGAAATCCATCCTCCGACCCGAGGCGCCATTAAATGGCTCTCCGAGCTCCCACGTACAATCATAAACTCGGTCCGTTGCTCATATTTTGAATTACACCGAGTAAGTTCGATCAGGCTTGGTTTCACATGCATTTCGTTTATTTATGGGTGCCGTGTTTTGGTTTTGAAGCCGGTTGCCTCTCGCCCCATGGTGTTTGCGGGTGACGCCGTACTACGCTGTACGCTGTGCACGTGCGCGCATCCGTAACGGTAGCCGTTTCAGAATTTTTTTGCTGAGTTTGTCGCCGTTTCCTGCACCTGCCAGCTCCGGTTTGCACGGCCGCCACTGGCCCACGTGTGCCGCTGTGAGATAACAAGGGGCTCTCTCGCCCGCTCGCTCACTCCCGAGCGTGCCGTGCCGTCGGAGGGAATGTGGTGCGTTACCTGAATTTTTGGAATGCCGCTGCAGTGAAATTATTTGGCACGCTGGACGCGATCTCCCGGCTTGGCCGTTGAGACAGCGCGAAGTTTCTTAAATCCCACGCCCCCCCCCACTACAACCACCTCTGTTCGCCCAAAAGTATGATTTATATGATTATTATTACTACATTTGTTTACCCAGCAAATCCTCACTCGGTCTCCGGGACACTTTTGCATGTGGGTCGTGCACAGTTTTTGTAGTTGGGGGCGATGTTGCTACGTGTAATCCTAATCGAGTAACTTGCAGGTGTGTTTTTTTAATGTAATTGGGATATTTTTTGGACTAATGCCAGGAACTGCAGAACCTGTAGGAATCCCGGACAGGAGGAGGGCATAGAATCGTCACACCGAAGGTGCCCGTGTCGGGAGTCGAACCCAGTCCCTTCTTGCTGTGAGGCACGAGTGTTACCCACTCTGCCACCCCGCAACCAGCATAGAAGGGCACGCCAGTTAGTTGATTGGCAGGTCATGTGTGTTGGGGTAGAGTGTAGTTATTCCCACCACTTCCAAGACATCTGGTCAGTATGGAATGGTAGGCCAATATACACTCTCCAGGTAAGACCCACTGTGCTACTTAACTCTTTTTCAGAAGAGACTTGGCCACAAATGTCAGCTCAACCAAGTGACTCATCACGTGGAAATTTATGGCAGCAGCATTCTCTAAACGCGTGTTGAGTCTAAATGTGGAGAAAACAAATCGGAGGACCCGAAGAAAAATCCATGCAACCACGGGGAGAGAGACACGCAAACTCCAAATATACAGCCAGACGAGGTAGTTAACATCTCCTAGCCACCATGGCTTGCCTAGTGGGGCTCTCCAGAGCTCCCTCCAGTGGAGGTCCTTCTCCAAGCATTGGCGTGATGAAATAGTTGAGGGCTGCACCTTTTACCTTTGAGGGCAGAGTAATGGGGAACTTTTCCTTACGGAGGCTCCAAATAGGACTTGCGTACACCACGAGTTGACGCGAAACTCTGGATCACGCTCGGGCTGTAAGCATTGACCGCTTGCTCAGAACTAACCCGAGTTGATAAGCTCACACGGCACGTGGAGCGAAACCGTCGGTCATCGTGGCGTGAACAGCAGCCGTGCGTCACACCGTATCACGTGTGATCGTATCTCGAATCCTTGTCCTCCAAATTTCGCTGCCAGACCACTCGCCCACATCAACCCTACACTCCAATCCCGTACCGCCGATGAGCACGGTTGGCTACGTGCGGCGCGAAAGAAGTTCAACATCCGTACAAATGCATGCGTACACGCAGCACCACCGCGAAAACCCTACAACAACAACGGCCGTGACACGTTCAGCGCGTCGATCGCCGTCACGTTCACCTGGGAGCTCTTCGCCTCCCGTGTGAACGCTCCGCTTCGCCCCACCCCGTTCATTGCAGCCTCCATGTCTCTCTCTCACCTTTCCTCAAACGCCGCCCAGCCCTTACCGCCCACTCGGCTGTGTGGAGGGCGGAGGTTTCTGGGGCGGTCTACAGAGGTGGAGACGCGACGCGTCCCGGCGCGCTCGTGCGGATCGTACGCCCGACGTTACGTGAACGGTGCCGCTTGCATTGCAGAGATGGGCCCGGTGGCTCGAGAGGGGAAGGGAGGGGTTCATGTCGTGGTTAAACCGGGTTTGCTGGTCTCGGCCTAGTCGCCACTTTGTTGCAAATAATGGGCCACTTTGTTGAGCTATTATTTGTGAGAAATAAGTTAATACCTCAGTGGGCTTTGCCCGGTAGGATGGGGATGATTTAGTTTTAATTGTGTATGTGTTTTATTATTTGTCTTCCTTGTACTTTCCACGACTGTAATGTCAAGTACTGTTGTAACGTTTTTACCCGCCCCTACTGGACATCTGTGAAAAAGAGCTTCATAGCTCATTGGATTCCTCCAGTATAAATACAGGGGCTGAGACTAATAGAACACCTATTGCCAAATCGCCATGAATGTGTCTGAGAAGTTACGCGAGGGGAGTGAGCCTGGTATGGACAGTGCTTCGATGGGATATTGAGAAATGGAGCAATAAAATCAGATGTGCGCACAGGTGAACATCTCACAATCGTGCTTGATGGCAACAGCTTGGGAAGAAAGGCTTTTTTTTTAATTCAGCAGTGGTTTGACCACGGCTCATTGATGATGACGACGAATTAAAAATAAAGCCGAGTGTAGCGGCAAAACAAAAAAACAACCGCCACACGCACTCAAAAACGTGTGACGAACAAAATGGCCGGGCCGTAAAAATAAAAAAATGTCTCTTGCCGTGCCTTGGCGGTCACGATCAACGTGTCGCGACATGCGCCAGGTGCAAAAAAAGAAAAACGTTCCCTCCTGTGGGCACGCGAGGGGCAGAGCCGAGGAGGTGGTGGCATTTCTACATGTGTGGAGGGGGTTAGCGGTGAGACTACGACCTTTGGTCCACTAATTCGCGTCGTTTATCTTAACCCTACGGCATTACGCATTGCCCCGTGGCGGTGCGCTAACCCTCGCGAGGTCGTGGCGTGCATTTGCTGGCTGCTTCTTCCACGCGTTTGCCCCACTCGTGTGGGGCCCGTTGTCCTTGCCAACCTTCTCCGCGCTGCCCTGTCCTGCGTCATCTCTCTTTCTGCTCCTTGGGCCACCGTGTCCACCCCCCCCCCTCACCTCTCCTTCTGCCTTCCTCTTGATCTCTTTCCTTCCACTTTCATCACCTGCACCTTCTGACCCACGTAATTTACCTGTTGTCTCTCCACGCAAAATTGCTGGCTGTTCACCGTAAAACAAACAAAAATGAAACCCCCCATTTCGATGTAATTGTGGTTTTGTCGAGCTTGTGAGCGTGCTCGCCTCGTGAGGACGGCCGGGAAGTGGTTTGCCGTTCTGTGTGGATGCGTAAAACGGATCGTTTGGTGTGTCGGTTCAAATCACCGCAATGCCAGGCCTAATCTGGAGGCGATTTTACTCCTTTTTTTTTGGAAGACGAGGCAGCAACTTTAACAGGCCCAGTGTGAATGTAGTCGACGCCTTCGGGGTCTCGGCCGGCGACGGAGCCGTGGAGGAGGGAGTGCAGTTCTCTTAGTGTGCGGCTTTCATTTCTGTAAAATAAAAAAAACAACAAAAATAAAACTTGAGAATAAATTAACAATGGATCATGAAGGTATTTCGGTGAGTTTAATATTTTTTTAGTCTAGTCGATGGCAACCCGTGTAAAATTTTAGGCAAGTCTTAAGTCTGTGGATTTCATTTTGTCGTTAAAATAAAAAAAAACATGTTGTTTTAAATTATCACCGTGGACATTGGGACAATTAAGCCGGTACAGTGTAAAATACTTTAAGGGCTGACTAAATTGACAATGCCACAGGGCCTTAAAGCCACACCCAAACCATGCTCCGATTTGTGTACAGTATTGAATGGCCCAAGGGAAGGTGTCCATTATACAGGGTGGTCCAGATCTCTTGCGGCTCCTTCAGTGAATTCACCCCTGAGCGTGTTTTTCCCCCTTGCATATTAATTTGTTTTTCCTTGAAACCTTACTTTGCTTGAATATAATCCACCATCATGTGTAGGCATGGCGATACCTGAGAGAGAGCGAGAAAAACAATCCGAGGCAAAGACGATGACGGTCTTGATCCCTTACTTGAAGAGGGGAATTGCCCAAAACGTCACCTATTATATATTTACACAGTATATTTATTTTCCATTTATCAGAATAGGTATATTTATACTGGATGATGAGCTTTACGCGACCCTCCTCCGATGAGCTTTAAAGCTCTTTTTTTTTCACAGATGTCCAGTTGGGATGGGTCAGAACGTTACAACAACAACAACAAACAATACAACAAAAACATAAGAGGCTAAAGTTTAGGAAAGGTAAACAAATTGCTGAAAAAACCCCCAAATAAAACACAACTATTTTCTATTTTACCTGGTAAGGCGCACTGAGCAATTCGATTGTTTTTCAGAAGCGACCTGGCCACAAATGATAGCTCAACGCAGTGGCTTATCACGTGGAAATTTATATCAGCCAAATAATCTAAGGCGGTGATGTCGATAGACGTGGGAGTTTCTTGGTTGCTCGTGCCTGTGTGCGCGCAGCATTGTCAAATTTATATCGTATTGACCAGACAACAGGAATGACTCTTGCGAATGCTACAGCGAAATTCTGCCACTTGCGTTTGGGGTCCTGGGGGGGTGGGTGGAGTGGTGGGGGCAGGAGGAGGCTCTCTGCACAGCAGCTGCGAGCATTAAAATACCCGCGTGGAACGCGCGACTGCTTGTCACATCCCATCGCCGGCCCGGCGCTCATTCATTCACAGCGAGCCATTCATCCGATCCCACGCTTGTGCATTCATTGAGCAAAATAAAATATGAGTAACGCTGACGCGGTGGACGATGGCGGTGGTCAAATGAGGCCTCCGTGTATATTTTGGTGGGGACAAATGGGGTTGGCAGCAGACGGGTGGCGGATGGTTCACAGGGAAACTGTTTTTGATTATCGAGTGAATATCACTCTACTCCCCTGCGCGCACTCTCTTACCTCTCCCCTCTCATCACACCACTCCCCTCCACGCACTCTGCTACCCCTCTGATCCTGCTCTACTCCCCTCCACGCACTCTCATACCTTCCAAGTACTCTGTACTGCAGCAGCCGCCAAAGCCTTTCTGTTGAAACCCCCTGTCAAGCTTCACTCAAAAGGGAAGTCGCTTATTCTGCTCTGCTGCCCCGATTATCTGAACATCGTGCTCTCAAAACCATGCCCTTCAAGTCCAGGCTTAAGACCTTCGCTCTGCCAATGACTGACTGCCTCTTTCTCTCTAGAAAATAAATGTTCGCCGGCATTTCTGTACAGCTACTTGAGATGCGGCTGCATGTAATTGCTGCATATATCCACGTATTGTAACATTACCAATTTAAAATTGATTATTTCGCTCACGGTACATGCTTAGAATATGGTGTGTAGGAATCAATTCATGCGAACTTGGTCCGATCTTAACGAGCCCAATAACGCGGATGTGATGTGTCTATAAAGTAACTATTCCCAACTGGTATTTCGGTACAGGGTCGCAAAATGCTGTCGCGTACAGACGCTGTAGATAACACGTACAAGGCCACGTATCGTGCACGTATTTCTCAAATGATTATGACTCGATGTATACCGTGGAAAGCTTCGCCCGAGTCTGATGACTATTTCGCCGGAAAGGGAGCTCCCAATTATAGCGAATGGTGCCACCGGGCAGAAGTATTATGGGACCTTTTTGGCAGTATCAAAGAATGAGAAGTAATAAAGGTATCCCATGAAAAAGCTGCTCACCCCCAGCTATAAAAGCTGTCATAGTGCATTGTCTTTGAACTGTTCGCCTTTTGGCGTCGTTCTCTGGTCTGACACTGGTGAGACTAGGCCATAAAGAAGGATGTATCTGGTGTACCGCAATCAGTTTCAAAGACAGTGCATATATTATCAGAGCATGTTTGCTTGCATGTTCATCACAAGTACGTGTGGTTAATGCAGGCTTAGTGTGCAAAAGCTATATATTTGATGTTTGAACATCTTAATACCTGTTTTATTGCCGGACATGGTAAAACCAATTATTATTTTTCATACTGGGCATAAGTAGTTTTGTTGAATGCGAGGGAGAGTAAACAATATTGAGGCACCACCATCTCCCGTGGGCTCTTGGAGTGGCTGTTGCAAGAATGAGTCACGTGGGTGTCTTAATTAGCCATAGCTGCCTCAATCCATTCTGTAATTAATTTGCATTGTCAATGCAGCAATCACACCGACAGGCGGTGAGTCATTGCCACTGATGCAATTCAGCACGGCAGTCCTTTTTTTTTTTCGTGTGTCGTTCTCCACCGACATGACAACCGGGGAATTACCGACACGTTGGTGGCGGTGGGGGAACGGTCGCGGACACGCGTGCGAGTTTGGGCATGCGAGTGCGACACGCGTTTGCATCCAGCGGTGGATAGATCCGTGGATGGTTATGTTGACGGTGAGCCAAGTCGCGAGAATTGTAAAAACATTGCATCGATTTGGCGGTGCACTTGGATCCTTCGGCGCACGGTCCGCGCATCAAATCTATGTTCCAAAGTTGACATGTGTGAGAATTCGGTGACCTCATTTTTCAAGGAAAGGGCACAGATTTCGTCAGAGTGAGCTGCACTTTTCTGCAGATTTCCATCGATGTTCTCGTGGCACTACCACGCTGCACCCTCCCGCCAGTTCCCGGTATTGGGGGGGGGGGGGGGTTATAGGGTGATGTGGGTGCAGGGAAGGGATGACGGAAGAGCTGATGCGGTTTAGACAAACACAAAAGGGCTGCTCCGCCGCGCGGTTCTCCGTCATTGTTGTTTTTTTTGCAACGGCTTCATCTCGCTGACGCCACCGCCGTGGAATCTCTCGGAGCTTAGCGGGACGGTGGCCGCTCCGCGTTTTTCATCGCCCGCACGAGCGCGTCGCGTCCGCGGGATGACTGCGCGATCGTGGGCGGGTGGGGTAGAGCGAGGGAGGCCGACGAGCAAAGAAGAATAATTATAGCGCTTAGTATTTCAAGTGACAGACATCTAACGGAAGATGCTGCTGGCGATGAGAGTGTGTGGAAGGTAGGAGTGTGTGGACGATGGGCGCTTTAGCGGGCGATGTTCGCGCTCCGAGCGGTTGCAGAGTAAGCGCGCTTGTTAGTCGTGTACACGTGTGCGTGCGTACGTAGTACCGTCAGCGCGTCGAAGCCAATTTGGCCAGGCGTGCTATTGCTGGCCACAGCGCTCCTTTGTGCTGACGGCACTTGCCCCAACAGTCTACGTAGGCTTCATGGAGAGAAGGGGGGGTCTTAGTCTTGGTGTGTGTGCACGTAACCTATGAAGGCCAGCATGGCACATGAGATGGTGGGTGGCCAGAACCATGCCCGGCCGCCTTTGTCTCCCCAGTGGCGATGTTTACATGCCGCACCAGGTACTCATTTTAGGCTGAGTCGACCTGGCGGGGGCCCAAGACCGGTTCAGATAATCGTCACTGGTGTTGGCCGTGAGCGCGAATCGAATTTGGATCTCCGGGTTCGTAGCGCAGCGCGCTGAGCGCTACACTACCCGCTCTCCCTTAGCAAGCACTTTCACAAGGTGCTCGTTAACAGCACTTTCCCCAACCGTCTGTTCGGGCTACAAGGGGGGGACCTTTGTCTTTGTGTGCACAACAGCGCTCGCGAGCCAACAGCCCCCCCCGACATCATGAGCCGTAAGAGCAAGCTGCTGCGTCGGCTGGTGCGTTGCCGGTGCCTGCGCGGGGAGGAGGAGACCATCTCCACCATCGACTACTCGCACTGCTGCCTGCAGCAGGTGCCCAAGGACGTCTTCCTGTTCGAGAGGACCCTGGAGGAGCTCTACCTGGACGCCAACCAGCTGGAGGATCTCCCCAAGGTGATGGCGGAGAGATGCGAGCTGCAGGGATCATGCCGACTTGAAAGAGTGGTGGGAAGTGGTGGGGGTGGGCGGGGGGGGGGGCACGGCTTACGTGCCGATAATGCGACACTGCTTCGTACGAAGTGACTGGGATTTCTTAATACCTGTTTTATTGCCAGAAAGGGTAAAACCAATTATTATTTGTGCCTCGCAGCAAAAAAATATTCCTGGGTTTGATTCCTGATCCGGGCGCCTTTCTGCGTGGCGTTTGTATGTTCTCTGTCGCTGGTCTGTTGGGGTTTTCTTTGGGTTATCCATGTAGCTTTTTGTAGATAAAAAAAGTTATGTTACTGGTATTGGCCAATCATCCCAATGCTGAACATTACCTTAAAATTAACTCTGTTGGGATCACACACAGTAACTTAGCCCCCTATTGTGAAAATATAACAATATCAGTGGTTGAACTCCTGAAATTATTATTGTTGACATGGGAGTCTGGAATTTATAGCATTATTTTCATCATCTCTAGCCTCGTCGGTATGCTCGAAATTATTAACTCGCTCAACAACAAGATCTTCATTTTCATCCCCATGATCATCGTTGTCATTCTTTTGCTTATAATCGAAGTACTTATTCTCATCCCTTTGATCATCATCCATAACCTCTCATGGTTATATATTAATGTTCCTTTGGCGTTGTTAAAATGAGCACCATATGGTACAAACCATGACTTTACAACTTGATGAGAAACCAACAATAATTATCGTCCCATAGAGAGTTTATTTATAATCGGGGCAATATGCGGGCCCGTTATATCGCGTTGTGACGCACGTACACACCGTCGGCACAAATTGAACCGGTTATGAGAAGCGGGGGGGGGGGGGAATAGAAAGATGGGGAACGAATCCACTGCTGCCCCCACAGAAAGGTGGAGCGGTTGACTTCGTTGGTCACGTGGCCGCTGCTGCTTCGGATCGATTCCTCTAGACGCGTCGTAACATTTGCGTGAAGATTCATTTACCTTAAGAATTGCATTTGTGAAATGCGATTGTTCACATGGAACCCCTTCGCAGCCAGTGTACCACTATTCTTGAACGACAATGGCGATTTTAAAATAATAAGTTAAGAATGATACAGTATTTTGTAACGCACGCACATGTAATGAAACGGGGCAACTCGTTGTTTGTTCGCCAACTCGGAGCTGTGGGCACGACATGTCATCGCGACCGATTTGTGCTCGTGCCGTGTTTTTTTTAATTTCTCACATGACGTGGTCGCTTTTTTGGTTTTCCTTCCGGTTTCTGTTTGCGTCGTGGCTGTGCTTCTACTGTTTTTATTTTGTCATTTTGTTGACTCCCCCCGGATCACTCTTGCAAATAAGACCTCATCCTGGTCTCCGACTTATCAGCTGGTTAAACAGAGTCACTTGAAACTTAACGCCGTAACAAGGCAGCGGTGATTGTCAAGTGCCTAGTCCTCGCTTGGCGTGTAGGTGGAGTGACTCGCCGAGTGCTTTTATTCGACACCAACCTCTTTTCCGGAATGTCGTTCACTCTGGTCGCAGCAACTGTTCAGCTGCGTCCTGCTGCACAAGCTGAGCATCTCCGACAATGACATCTCCATCCTTCCGCTGTCCATCGCCAACCTGGTCAACCTCCACGAGCTGGACATCAGTAAGAATGGTGAGTGCCCCGCGGAAAGTGAGTTTTACTCCGTTCGGTTAAAGCGACCAAACGTCCTGGTTTGACCGGGACGGTAGCGGCGGTTTTTAAGAAAGGCTGTCCCCGGTGTGTCCACTCATTCTCCCCCCCCACCAAAGAATAAAAAAAAAGTGGCCTTTGAATGTGGTTTAAAGTGTTCTGGTCTCGTGCTCGACTCGCAATGCACGCAAAGGGCGGAGCTGCCAGAGGTGTAGGCAGGGCCGACGCGCAGTAGGCCGAGCCGAACATCCGGAGTGTGGCCGCTCGCTGTGTGTGCGGGGCTAGGGGTTGAGCGGGCGTGGCTTTGTAAAAGTGGGTGGGAGCCGACGGTGGAAGCGAGGAGGGGGGCGGTGCTGTCGGCTCACCATGTGCCCTGGTTAATCCTCCGATACATAATATTTGGTTTCTTTATCTTCAGCGTGTCCATTTAAGTTCTTCCATTGTTCAGTCACTCGATCGATCAGTTATTCGGCATCATGCCAAGATGACAAGTTGGTTTACTACCTGTCATAAAGTCACCCCGAATGCACTCGATCTTGTTGGACCTCCCGGATCCAAGCATTATTAAGCCCTCATTGGTATTGCAATGCGAGACGAGTGGTACATTTCTAGGCGTGGGGCGAAGTGAAATTCAAAGAGACTTATCGTGTTTTCTCGTTGTTTACACGGCACGGTGCCCGGTGGCTTTAACGACCCCCGACCTTGCCCCGTTCTCATCACATTAATGTGACAGACGTGTTGACACCCACGAGTCTTTTACGCCGCCCGTACTCCTCCCCCCCCTGCTGCCCCTGCTGCCCCCGCCGCCTCTCGGTTTAATAGCCCCCTCGGCCCACCCTACAATGATTTCCTGTTGCCCGCCACACCTTTCGTATTTTGCCAGTCCCATCTCCTCCTCGTCCTCCTCCGCTCGATTCTTTTGAAAACAGGAATTTACGATCTCCGCGGTGACAGTGTGCTGCTCACAATTCTTTAAAGGGTTGTGCGACGTTCGATTGTCAGTTGAGGAATTAACTCGCAGCCGATCATCCCCCTCCGGTAGTCGGTGTCAAAATAAATGTTTGAAGTGTGCTTCCATGCTGCCTTGTTTAGTCTCCTTATCGTTATCAACGCCGCACTGACAGTGTGGTGAAATATGGTCAAAGAGCTCCCACGAACGACCTATTCCCCACAACAGTATTTGCTCAAGCGCAGCGAAATGTCGTATTCAAATTGTAAATTTTGTGGATTTACTCTCCAACACACCGGTGGGCTGAAGTAGTAACTAATTTGGCGCATTGTTTACGTGACAAACCTTACTTGCTGTGTCGGGTGGTGAACGGTTACCACACATGCGCGATCTAACCCAAAAACCTTTATTATGAATTAGTGCAGTATGTCTAACAAGGGTGGGTCAGTGGTGCAGTGTTTAGCGCACTGCACTATGAATTAAGAAACCTGAATTCTATTCCCAGTCGAGGCTAAAATCAAGTGCTTGTAGAGTTGGACCCAATCCTGGGCTCCTCTCCTCCTCTGACCGGCACTGACCAGCATGGTGAAGTATGGTCAAACAACCTCCATGCCTGACAAGGTGCGTGGAGGCCTTCATCCAGCAGTGGATTGACAAGTGCTCAACTCGTACACATGCAATGTAAAGTCTGGCACCTTCGACAGATTATTTTTTTTTCCTCTCCAAACATTAATTTTTGCCTAATCTGAAACAAGCCGTCTCCCCCACTCTCTGAAAAATAAACTCGCCGCGGCGTGTTCGCTATCTCTTCCTCTCCGAGCATGACGGTACATTCGCGATGAACGTGTCGCGTCGTTGCCCGTATCGCCGCGGCACATCAAGCCCCGCCGAACATCGCGAACTTTTTCACACGAGCGACGTTTTGACGCTCAGGCGAAGAGACGCGGCGGACCCGCTTGAACCTGCCCAAACACACCGCCTTCCCCGCAGCCTTAACGCTCGCACTCCCCCTCACTGCCGCCCTCACCCCCCACCCCCTCCCGCCCTCCCCCCCCCATTGACGACTCTTATTTCTGCCTCGACTGAAGAGCAACCCAGGGGAGTGTAGCACCACGGACGTTGTTCGTCCCCGTTCACCCAAGGCTTAAAAAATGGGAGGAAGGGATGACCCGGTCTTGGATAATTAAAAAAACCACACACGGTTACTTCACCACACGTGTACACTTAGGCTACATATAAACGTCTTTAATTGTTACACTAAGTAGAGTGTGGGCGAAGATGTCGAATGTGTCATCGTCTATTTTTATTTGCATCTCAAAGTCACTCGTTTTACTTGCCGGACGTGTTTTAGTCACTCACCCTCCCGACGAGTGAGAAATAAATAATAGCTAAGCTAACGTAAAGATATATACTGTATGTATATATGTCCATATATATAAAAGGCAAAGTTGTGAATGTGTCTGTTCAAAATGTTTAACGTATTTCCCGACATCCAACAAACTTGAATTTTTGCCATGTGTGTACTTTCCAGACTGTACACCATGCAAAAATTATAAAAATAGTTTTTTTTTGGGGTGGGGGGGGGAGCTCAATAATGCATTTTTTTTTGCATGGCAAGTGAGCTGTGACGTCAAATCTGTCATGTGACCCGCGCATGTGGAAGCGTAACGCAGTGTAGTGGTTAGCGCGCCGCGCTACAATCCCGGCGACCCGAGTTCGATTCCCACTCACGGCCACCACCGGTGACGATTATTTTTTACCGGTCCTGGGCCTCCCCTAGGTCGACTCAGCATCAAACGAGTAACTCCTCTGCTGTGTGAACATCGCCACTGGGGAGACAAAGGCGGCGGGCGTGGTGAATCCAAGTCCCGGGCGAAGCCGGGTAGTACAGCTAGTACATATATATGGTGGAGCGGTGGTGCAGTGGTTAACACGCTGCGCTACGAACCCGGTGGCACGAGTTGTATTCCCGTTCGCGTCCAACATCGGTGAAGATTATCTGAACAGGTCCTGGGCCTTCCCGACGTCGACTCGGCCTCAAATGAGTACCTCTTGCGATGTGTGAACATCGGCACTTGGGAGACAAAGGCGGAAGTGCGTGGTGCTGGCCACCCTGGCGGTTATAGGTTTCCGGCCTTCATAGAGGTGCCCGCTAACAGCACTTGCCCAAACAGCCTGTTAAAAGCACACTGCAAAGGAGGCATGACCAGAGGTAGAATGATTTATTGTAACCAAAAATAAATATTACATATTTGGCTTAGTATGCATACCATACCTTTGTTAATTAATAACCATTTTTAAACACATTTGATTGGTAAGCACAAAGGGTATATGGCAGATGTTTTGTTTTTGCCTTTTTATATATATTTCGCAAGCACGATTAATCCGCTGACCAGATAATCCACGCACGGATGGTCGACAGTTATAACGTCTCACTTTGCAGGTGCTTCGTCTAGCTGGGCAGCAGGTGGGTGCGCGCGAGTGAGCGCGTGTGTGTGTGTGTGCGCGACGACGCCCCCCCCCGGCCTCGACCCTGTGTGATGTTTAACATCCCGGCGGGGTCATGCCCGGGCACACCGACAGAGCCGACGGCTCGGGTGACGAGCGCGAGAATCACGGCCCCAAGCCCCCCGCCCGGGGTACCCGGCACTGGAAGCGCCGCGGATGAAAGCGGCGATCGCCTCGACTCCGGCACCTTGCCGCCCTTTAAAAGCCGCTCTGTAGTTTGCCGGAGCAGTCGCTTTTGTTTGAAATAGTTTCCGGGTTTGTCAGCGTAAGTGGGGGGTATTATTTTTTCGCTCCCAACATTTTGTGCTCGCGTGTGTGTTTGTGTGTGTAGCGCCCAACGTCGGTGGCGAATATCTGACCCGGTCCTGGGCCTCCCCTAGGTCGACTCGGCCTCTAATGAGTGCCTGTTGCGGTGTATAAACATCGCCACTGGTGGCCGGGCGTGGTGCTTGCCGCCCACCCCCTCGTGTGCCGTTCCGGCCTTCATAGGTGCTCGCTAACAGCACTTTCCCCAACAGTCTGTTAAGCCTATACGGGGGATCTTTGTTAAATACAAAAATTGAATGGCATTGAGCCTGTTTTAAATTTTCTTGGGTGTGGACGGAATTTTTTTCCAGTGATTTGAGGTATGGACTGCAAAAGTCCGTAGCTCGGTTTTATATATACACGCACACATGCAAACATGAAAACAAAGACCCTTTGTCATGTAAAACAGACTGTAGGGACAAGTGCTGTAAGCGAGCACCTGTTATAGGGCCCGAACCACACCTGGCTGCCTGGCTGCCTTCATCTCCCCCGCACTGATTGGTTGTACGTTTACACGACCTGTTCGTTTAATCCCGAGTTCACCCCAGGTGGGCTCAGAACAGATCCTCGCACCATCTGCCCACTCGTGTTCTCCACGGCAGGAAATTGAACCCGGGTTGCAGGGTTCAGAGAGCAGTGTGCAAAGCCCTACGCTACTGCTCACTCAGAGGAAAAAAAGAAACACGTTTCCTCCGTATAGTCTTAACAGACTTGGGGCAAGTGCTGTTGACGAGCGCCGAATGAAGGTCAGTGGCACACGAGAGGCGGTGGATGGCCAGCATCAAGCCCAGCCACATGTCTCCTCAGTGCTGATGTTTTACACACTCAACGTGGTACTCATTTGAGGCTGAGTCGAGCTAGAGGACACCTGAGACCGATTCAAGTATTCGTCACTTTTATTGGTCGTGAGCAGGAATTTGAACTCTGGTTGCTGGGTTCGTGGCGCAGAGCAGGGTCGCCACTGCGCCACCACTCTCCACACAGCGCACGCAAACACATACACACAGACGTACGGGAACAGTGTAGACGTTGGAAAGTTAAGCATGGAAATGCATTTTCTTCTTGTACCAAATTAGAAACTCGTTTTCGCTTCTTCAACATGTTCTTTTTTATTGCTCTAAGGACTTGTCGTTGCGCGTGCTGCAAATGGGTGGCCTGAAAGATTCGGCGTGTGTTCACCGAGCATCACCGTCAAAAAGATGCGGCTGGGTTTAATGCA